GGTTACGCTTCCGTGATGTGAGACGAATCCATGCCTCATTTATTATGGAAGCTGGTAACTTAGCTAGCAATTCAGAATATGCTTGGTTAAATGCCATTATATATTTATACATGGCGCAAAAAAAATGGAATTCCATGAAATTTCAAAAAAAAATAGACCACTTTATTCTATCAGATTAGTACATGGAGGTATATTTGTGAAATAAATCACCAGGGCCAGTTTTATTATAATTCAAATAATAATAGTAGACCTATGACCGAAGGCGCTTCGGGCTGAACAATATATTATTATTTTATTAAGACAATATTCAGGATCTGGGTCAAGGACTGATCTGGAAAATTCAGCAGGTGATACGATACATAGTGTTGACCAATTTTACTAGGCGATCATGTATACAAATTATATAGCTATCATATTATTTTAATAAAGAATCTATAGTCCAGAGAATTTGTTGCACATAGTCACAGTTATTGTTAAAATCTGAGAAATCTATAATAGTTAACCCTCTGTCGAAAGTAGTAATATAGGAAGATTTGAACATGTCAATTTCTAGTGAATTACATGGATATAGTTTGCCTTCCTTTTTACATTTATATCGTGCATATTCTGAAATTTTAACAAAGTTTGTAACAATATTGTTATAATAGTCTTTAGTAGTATGGTAATGTCCAGGATTTGCTAGATATTTTAGCATAATAGTCCAATCACTATAACCAACGAATCTATAATTTTGCTGATACGATTTTATAAAAGTAACTATATATGCTACAGTAGTTAGTCGAACATATAACTGGTATTTCTTCTTTTCTGCCCAGTCATGTGGAGTATAATGATAATACAAACTACGCAAACGAGGTTCATTCTGATGATGTGCAGGTACATCTCTGGCTAGAATTCTTTGACCAAAATAGTCTACATATTGATCATCAGGAATTCTTATATCACGAGGAGTTATACCTAAATACTTCTTCTCGTCAGGAGTATTATCGTTTCTCACCATATTCCAAACTCGTTTTGCCCAAGTTTCAGGTCTCAACTTGAAAGCTCTCCAAGCCCGTTGGATAATTTTTGCATTATTAAATATATGATATGCAGTCTTTTTCCTAATTTCTTTTGAAGTACGACAATAACATTCAGAGCTTTTTCTGTATCTAAAATAAATATTATCATAAATTTCATTAATTTCATTATCACTAAGCCATTTTTTACTTTTTCGTTTCCATAATACAGATCTAACATACGCGATACGCCTTTCCTCTATTTTAGCAATGCATTCATTCAGATGCTTATTTGCGCATTTCTCAGTATTATCACAGATAAATACTAAGGAATCACATGCAGTGCAATAAATATGAAATGTACGTCTTCCAGGTCCGAATTTCCCATATTTATATTCTCTTTCAGTCATGTGAATAAATTCATTCTTGGAGAAGAATTTAGGGTTATATTCAAGGAGTTTCTTAAACGAAACACGAATACGGGAGCACCACATTTTTGGCGTTTCATTACTATATCTGTAATGCAGATGAGTTAATGCTTTCACTACTATAGGATTTAAACCATATCGGTAGTCAGTCCTAACCATTTTTACGATAATAAGTAGTTTATAGTGATTTAGTGATTTATAGCGCTTTTTAGCAATTCTTTAGCAACTTATACTAAATAATATCGCCATTCAAATTTATACGGATTTACTGATTAGCGGTTAATTGATATGTAGCCGATTTGGGAGACTACATACTGCTAAATCCAAAATTCATTTTTTTATTCGATTACAAACATTTCGGGATTTATATAGGGTCATATCTCGGCTAAGCTAATTTTATATTTACATGCGGTTTGGATCTAGAACGACATCATGATCATCGTTGCCGGCACTTCCTCGCAACCTTCCCGCAACTCAAATCACGAGATGATCGACTAATCAGATTTTGCGCAGTAACTAAGCTACCATTATAGCCAAACAATATTATTATTATTAACCGTGAATAATGGTTTTGTTTTTTTATTTCTAGTATGAGATTTTTTTTAATTTAGAACTTTTTTGACTTTGAATCTTTTGCATTATGAGATCTTGTATTTCTTGAACTGGAGTTTCTTGAATATGAACTTCTTGAGTCAACGCTATATTCACATGCATGTAGATTGGATGATTTTCCTGATGTCATGATTTTGTTAAATTAGATCCGATGGCTAAATTATTTTCAGGAAGGATAAATTTTATTGGTATGCGCAGTATAAAATACATTATGACTATGTGTTAACATGATTGCCATTTGATTTTGTAATAAAAAATTGTCCAATTAAAAAATAGCAGAAACAAAACCGCAACATTGATTCATCGTAAAATATAATTTAATTGTTCAGTCTTCTCTTTTTAACCGGCTTTTTTTTCTTTGACTTCCTTGGGGTCTTGGTGTTATCGGCAAAAAATTCAACTGTAGATATAGGTGCAGAAATTTGGCTAGCTTCCATTAATTCATTTTCCAAGTCATCTTGTGATTCATTATCATTGTTATTCCGGATATCCAAGACTTGTAGGTTGTCCTTAATAATCAACTGTGAAAATGATTAGAGAACGAAATCATAATTACAGCAATAAGCTTTCCTTACCTTGTGTTGATATATTGCTACTAAAAGTTTTAGAAATGATTTTACTGCTTCTTTCGAGAACTTGCTATCCACATTGAAAGATCTAGGGTCTTTACGGAAAATACAAATAGAACCACCAGCACGCCACAATCTAACAAATTGGATCCACGTCCCAAGATGTATGATTCCGACGACCTGAAGTTTGTCTGCTTTTTGTTGTTCATAATTTGCGGCAATCATTAGATCAGTATACATATCTCGAAGAGTTTTGGGCATTTTGAATGCCTCGAGAAGGTATTTTCGGTCAGAAACACCCAAGAAAGATCTTGCAGCTTCGATAGCCCCGATTTCAAGCTTTCTGTCAACGCTATAAATGATCCCATCAATTTTACGGCCGATAAGTTTTCTTGTGTTTGCTTGCCGACCACGATTTTTTCTGTTTGCACTACTCACCGATGGTGCATCTGTTCTACAAAAAATGAGAAATAAGCTGTTAAAAGAAATACAAAGTTGAATCATTTATGCTAGTAAAAATCCGGTTAAAACCTCTTAATGTCAGTTCCTAATTGTATGTCCCTCATGCAAAAATCAATACATGTTCCGAAAAGCGCAATTGTGTACCAATCTTCGTATTGGCTCCTTATCAGCGGGGAATCTACATTTTCGTACAAATTACAGAGTGTTCGCATAGTCATCTGGACCCATTCTTGATTAAAATGTTTACAAATATCATATCGTTCTTTATCTTTAAGATACGTCGTCATAACGGTTATACGTAGTTCTTCTACCGTTTTTTTTCCATATCTTGCCATCTCTTTTACAATATCGCTTGGAACAGATGGAACCCCAATTCGATCTTCAGTTAATTCTTTCCATTCCTCATCGGTAAACAATGCTTTGACATTCTCATCATCAAAATCAACAATATATGAATGAGCATGGCTAATAATATGTCAGTATCATGAATGATAAGATAAAAAGAATTTAATTTTCGAGAAACTTACTGCTCATAGTCCATGTCTTTTGCAAATTTAAAGAGAACGTCTTCCACAATCTTACCCGTACTCAACCGCAACTTCGAAGTATTTGGGATAGCACCATAGGCCATCCGGAAAGCCACCTTGTCAACTTTGGGGGAGTATCCTCATCTTCGTCTACATCATCCGCAACGCTTTCCTCATCTGACTGTTCATCATCAAGCGCTTCAAGATCTGATTCAACTTCAAATGACATAATCTTACTTCCACAATAAGGACAATATCTCATTAGTTCATAGATATTGATCTAAAGAATAAAGAAGGTAAATCTTATTTATCCATTGTAAGATCCGATTTTAAATGTATTTACCTCCATGTCACAATCGGAGCAACGAGAAGACTTATCCCGCTTATGCTTCTCTGCCCGGTGATTAATCTACAAAGAGTGAAAGCGAGATAAAGAATATATATCCCCGAATTAATTAATTTACCTGTTATGAATGGCGATAACCGAACAATTCATTTTATGTGAGTACCATACCTTACCCTCCTCATTGTCCGTTTCATCTTTCGATTTTTGCAGTTTCTTTAAAAACAGATTAGACGATTTTTCTTCGGCTGGACTTTTAAAAAAGCTGTCGACTTTGTCACTCAAATCCTACAGAAATACAAGGTCAGTATTATGAAATGATATAAAAAAAGAATGTCAATAAATGGTCGGTTTCTTTTCCTAAGCACCTTCCCGGGATCCTCTTCCTAAAGAAAATCGTAAACCAATTATAAGATGTAACTAACTTAATGACCGTGTTTTTAACCGGACTCACATTGTCTTCAAAGCCACTCCTTTTTTCGAGCTTTTTTGTGATTATTTTTCGTAGAAAACGGCCTTGAACTCGCACGTCTTTTGTTGCGTCCAGAATGTGTAAGTTCTAAAAAAATAGACCATTCAGTATGCAAATCAAGATGTAGTAAAGGTTTCGAGAATTAACATACCAACCTCTTCGATATCAATCTTATTCTCCAGTTCTCTCTTTGTCCAATATTGTTTCACCACCTCCGACTTGCTTTGATCCTGTTTTAAGGTAAGATTTTTTATGGTTTGGAACGCTTGAAGGGGAGTATTTTTAATTATTGGACACAAATATGTACCAAAGGGACACACACGGCACAGAGGCCCTAACTCCAAAACACTGAGGTTCGGCGGAGGTAGTGTAGAATCCATACCAGCACAGAGGCATATTCTCCCATTGACACGGAGGTCAAACAAATGTTTCCTCACGACATGGGTTTGACACAGAGGTCAAACAAATGTCCCTCACGACACGAAAGGTCGATTGGAGGAGGATGGGATAGGACGATGGTACACGACGCGTTTACGTAACAAAGAAAACAGTATGAAAGAAATAAAACCTTAAAAGCATCCATGCAAGCGCGTGCAGTCACTCTTCGATCTTGCTCTGTATCAACGTCTTTGGCAATAGAACTAAGTGTTCCTTTGTATAGGCTGTAGGCTTTCTTTTTGTTCGTCGGAAGTTTGTGCTCCAAGAAGCTAATTAGCGAGCAGGAAGTCAAATCGTCGAAGTATTTGTCAAACTTAGACATAATGCGGAAAAAAAAAAATTAACTGCGTAATCGCGTAATCGATTTGTGATATTGGGGCCACATGATTGAAATATGCTAGAACTTTCTAATACGCCTCTACTGCATGCTCTCATTTATAACGATGATCGAATTAATTTTTTTTTATGCCAAATGCCCGAAGTGGACGAAATTTTAATTATTTTTCAGATACATAGCGAATGAAATGTATGATGCTATCAAAGAGGGAGGGAGTACGCGGATCCTAGGCCATTTAATGCGAGTCCCAGCACCACATTATTTCTTTGCTCTCAGAATAATTTCTACAGATAAATTTGTTTCTATATCTACTACTAACTACAAGATTCTCAGCTCCATACTCCTTTATTACACTATATTTTCGAAATAAATAATCCCACCCATATCTACGCTTATACATATCACTCCTACCCACACAGACTATGTAAAAGATTAAGTTCCGTACCCATGATATATTAATTTCGAACCTATAGAATCGGAGAATAGAAATAAGTATATGCCCATAATTTTTGATAAAAAATAAACGTTATACTTCATTTCATCCTTACCATGATATTTCATTTTTGTAGCATTCCACTCCGCCAATATTTGAGAAAATTATTGCTTAATGTTTTTTGGATCGAAAGATTGTTGCTTGATTTATTGCGCCAGATGTTTGATATAAGACATGTGATGAGAATCAGGCAAAGCCACAATTTTACTGCGCTGATGATGCTGATATTACCCCCATCACGGGGAATTATTTTTATGATTAAAATTTTATTCGATATACTGCGCCAGACTTCGAGAATCAGCCACAGCAATTTGGTTAGACGCGTATCAGCGATCCCGATTTTCTCAACGAATATTAAAAGGATCAAGAAAGGTAATATGTCCGTTTTATTTTTGAGCATCTATATAGGTGGGAAAATCGATTAATATCGTGATGACGTTCTTCCGGAATCTAGCCAATCAATAATCAAACCCACCTTATTATTATTTTGCGGAATATACTCGTTTGGTTGATTGTGGATATTAATGATGAATATAACGGTAAATTTGATTAGTTTCGTTTGTTATTTTTTTGTTTTACTTGCACAAGGCGGATAAAAAAGTTCACTAACTAAGACTTCACCTTTTTATATAATTTCCAGGATCGATTCTGGAATACGCTTTTGGGGTAAATTATGTTAATATGATCGCATCACGAAAATCTGATCAACCTCCTCTCCTTAATTTAACACTATCCATATGTAAAGATCATCAAGGCCCCTTTTTAATAATAATATACGTAAGAATTTTGAGAATATGCGAGAAAGTTTGAGAATAAATTATTTTGCGCAACTACTTGTTCCCGTGATACATGTGACGTATATACTATGCGCATTTATTAAGTTCTAGATCAATGATTTCGTTACAATAATTGATTGAAAAAATATATTAGCATACACGCTTCCCACAATCCCTCCATTGTATATCTGAATTTTGTAAATTAATTGCATCTTTGCTTTATTGATCATACGAGAAAAAAATACATAATACAAATCAAAGACTGCTACATGATGCTACTTCAAACTAATTTAAAATGATAAAAAATTGAAGCATTATACCGCTTCCCCTTCTGTGATGCTAATATTATTCTCAAAATCCTAATGAAAAAATTGTCTATTAGCTTGTTGCTTCCTTGCAAATACCCAATATAACCGAAAGTAAACTCACCTTAACTGCACNGAGAAGTATTTTGGGTTATATTCAAGAAGTTTCTTAAATGGATAACGAACACGAGAATACCACATTTCTGGCGTTTCACTACTATACCTATATTGCAAATTGTTTAACGCCTGCACTACTACAGGATTTAAACCAGAATAGTAATTAGTTTTATCCATTTTACGGGTATAGTAAAATTATAGCAATTTATAGCAATTTTATCAGGTTTTTATCAACTTATACTATAAAATATCATGATTCAAATTTCGCATAACTAGAGCGGACAAAAATTTTCCGATCAACTCAATTTATATGTAAAATTTATTTCGTCATGCAAGCAATCACACAGATGATTTGCTTATTACATATTTTGTTGCACATACATATATTCATTGTGGCGGAAAAAAACAGTTTATTATACACACAGTTGTATTATACATATTATTCATACAATTCATTTGCTCATATTAAATACCTTTGATCTATATAATTATTTTTGCTATCTCATGCACGTTCAATACAGTGTAATATCCTGAGCGTTAAGAGACCTCCAAACAAGTCATTTTTATTTTCTATTGTTATCACAAGTTCATCTTCCTCATAAATTTCATCTAGGCGTTTTTTAGCATCGGTAACAAAAAGGAAGATATGAGGTCCAACATTTCTGCACTTATCGTGTTCTTCCTTCACAAGCCCCTTTGTTAACATAATTGGCTGATATCCATCCATCAATTTTTTACGGCTAACCACCAATTGTTTATCTTGAATGAGGATGGGTGGGTTTGTAAGCACAAATGAATCTGCAAATTCGGCTCCCTGGAGATTGTGATAAGCAATACATTCTGATGACCGATGTTTAATAAATTCTCTCCAATTCTTTTGCTCAATCTTCTTATTTGTTGATTGTACCGAAAATACAGGTTCAAACTCAAGGAGTTCATCATTCTGATTTTCGCGCAATGGGATAAGTTGTGAGAGCTTACATGTGCATAGACCAATTGATCCTTTTTCAATTAATCTCTGGTAGATTGCCCATAATCGGAACATAATTACTGAAATTGTTAAATGTTCATTCTGGTCTGGGGATAATGCATTGCTTAGAGTATCAAGAACTTTGATTGGTGGGATCACAGAAGTATTCCGACTAGAAAAAATTTCATGCAGAGTAAGAAAGGGGATCTTAAGCTTTTTTTTACGATTTCCCTCTAGGAAAACAAGCTCATCTTTTTCCAGGTCCTGTAAAATACAAAAATTAGGTATATATGGAAAGCACTGAATATCAAGATTATAAGTGTATTACTTACTTCAACTTTACGTTTCTTACTACCAAATGTAGTTGATCGATCAACAGGCCACTCAAATATGGTGTAGGCTGTTAAAATAGGGACAAGCTCAAGATTGTCTTTCGCCATAAAAACTTCAAAGTACCGGGAATACTTTGTACCGATCTTTTTTTTTAGTGCCTCAAGAAGCTTTTGGCAGTACTCTGGTTTATATTGACATTTTTGAAGGAAGTATCGTAACCCACTTTGATAAAATTTCTCACCATATGTAAGTTCTTTATGCTCAACAGCTTTACCGATGATGCCCATCTGAAATATCATAACTTCTAGAAAACGACCGACAACACCAAGAAGCTCAATTATATACTCCAAATGGATGGAGATCTTATTGATCCTGCCGATAACAATGCAATAATATAATAAGTAATGTTATGAAATACGCAATCCACAGCTAATATACTATTCACCTTTTTGTTTCATCAGTCTAACAAAAATATCAAGTTAGAATAGCTAAGTATTATTACAAAATCAATTAATGAGAATCTTAACACTGATAATAATAACTTACCACTCCTCGGTTAGCAAGTTCTAATATAACTTCTTTAGCATGTTCGACTTTCAACAATGGTAAATTTATGTCCTCAATTTTCGCATTTGTTGACTCTATTAAATTAAACAAGGCGTTTGCGTGTGTTCCAGTCAATATCACGAAAAGAAAGTAACCATTTGATATAACCCTTGCAAGAGCCTTGAGAACTGTCTTGAGCCATTCGGGACGTCCTTCGTTAAATAGTATATTTGTCTCATCAATGTTAATTATAAAAAGGCGTTTATTGCCTTTTTCATTATTTGGGAAATAACCTAAGATTATATCAATAACTCGATCGAGTTCAATCGTCTTAATTCCAAGTATTTGTCTAAATTTTGTAAGGGTGATATCGATACTGCAAGAGCGGTTTGAGGTGATTTAGTAGTGATTTAGTAAGTAAGGATTACGGAATCATAAACAGATGGAACTTACTTCTTCAGAACTTTCAAAGCCTCATGTAGTAATCTTATTGCGAAAGATGTTTCAGGATATTCAAAATCTTCATCCGTCAAATCATCGCACATGATTTGAAAAATCTGACCTGCATGACGGGCTTCTTTCACTGCCTTTACAACTTCGGAATTTATCTCTGTAGAATAAACCTTTTGGTTTTCAAACGCTACCCTAGCAAATGTTGTTTTTCCTTTTCCAGCCGTACCAACAGCCGTGGGAAATCTTATCTCTTTCTTTGGCTGGCTAAAGGCTTTTGGATTTATGACAAGGCGATACAAATTATCCATATTCTTCATAAGCTTAATGATCTCTTTTTCACGGTTTACAAACTTTAGATGAGTTGAAATGTCAGAAACATCGTTTGGAATATCGTCCGATGGTTCATGAGGTAGAGGATCACGAGCATATGGTTTAATAATTTCTTCGATCTCCTCACTACTAATTAGATTATCTATAGCTTGTGAAGTTAGTGGATTAGTGGATTAATAAATATGAAATAGTGAAACGTCACGTTCGAGTTGACCAATCATTACGACGCAAAGGCTTACCTTCTAAATTGACCAAAAAAAAGACGCAGTTAGTTACTGGACAAGACACAGTGACAGCAAGTTACCAATTATGGCGCAAGGGCTTACCTCTTAGAGATTTGGCATGTTTCCTCAAGTAGTTGACTTTCACTTCATCTTTTTCGATTGTTGGAAGAACTGCTTCCACTTTGGTCGTGTCTCTATTAGTAAAAAAATCGAGTAGGTCGGCCTTTTCGTTATCATCGAAAGGAAGGTTGTTAATTTCTTTAAAAATAGTTGACATTTTTTTTTATTTGTGAGTTAAGAAATTAAAAAGAAGTAATTGATAAGAATTTTTTTTAAAAAAAAAGAAAAATCGATTTGCTGAAGAGATTTATATATGGTTTAAAGTTAAGCTATAAGCTATATGAACGCGTCTTAAATCTAATTAAACTTCTATTATGAAAACGCGTTTTGTAAGTCCGATACTGATCTTACTGATATAGAAATGATTATAAAATTCGAGTCATCTTAAGTATGACATGATATGACAATTTTTTATATAATACATAATTAAAAATATAATAAATCCGATGTGCGAAACTTTATTAATTTTTTTTAGCTATGAAATGTATGATGCTATCAAAGAGGGAGGGAGTACGCGGATCCTAGGCCATTTAATGCGAGTCCCAGCACCACATTATTTCTTTGCTCTCAGAATAATTTCTACAGATAAATTTGTTTCTATATCTACTACTAACTACAAGATTCTCAGCTCCATACTCCTTTATTACACTATATTTTCGAAATAAATAATCCCACCCATATCTACGCTTATACATATCACTCCTACCCACACAGACTATGTAAAAGATTAAGTTCCGTACCCATGATATATTAATTTCGAACCTATAGAATCGGAGAATAGAAATAAGTATATGCCCATAATTTTTGATAAAAAATAAACGTTATACTTCATTTCATCCTTACCATGATATTTCATTTTTGTAGCATTCCACTCCGCCAATATTTGAGAAAATTATTGCTTAATGTTTTTTGGATCGAAAGATTGTTGCTTGATTTATTGCGCCAGATGTTTGATATAAGACATGTGATGAGAATCAGGCAAAGCCACAATTTTACTGCGCTGATGATGCTGATATTACCCCCATCACGGGGAATTATTTTTATGATTAAAATTTTATTCGATATACTGCGCCAGACTTCGAGAATCAGCCACAGCAATTTGGTTAGACGCGTATCAGCGATCCCGATTTTCTCAACGAATATTAAAAGGATCAAGAAAGGTAATATGTCCGTTTTATTTTTGAGCATCTATATAGGTGGGAAAATCGATTAATATCGTGATGACGTTCTTCCGGAATCTAGCCAATCAATAATCAAACCCACCTTATTATTATTTTGCGGAATATACTCGTTTGGTTGATTGTGGATATTAATGATGAATATAACGGTAAATTTGATTAGTTTCGTTTGTTATTTTTTTGTTTTACTTGCACAAGGCGGATAAAAAAGTTCACTAACTAAGACTTCACCTTTTTATATAATTTCCAGGATCGATTCTGGAATACGCTTTTGGGGTAAATTATGTTAATATGATCGCATCACGAAAATCTGATCAACCTCCTCTCCTTAATTTAACACTATCCATATGTAAAGATCATCAAGGCCCCTTTTTAATAATAATATACGTAAGAATTTTGAGAATATGCGAGAAAGTTTGAGAATAAATTATTTTGCGCAACTACTTGTTCCCGTGATACATGTGACGTATATACTATGCGCATTTATTAAGTTCTAGATCAATGATTTCGTTACAATAATTGATTGAAAAAATATATTAGCATACACGCTTCCCACAATCCCTCCATTGTATATCTGAATTTTGTAAATTAATTGCATCTTTGCTTTATTGATCATACGAGAAAAAAATACATAATACAAATCAAAGACTGCTACATGATGCTACTTCAAACTAATTTAAAATGATAAAAAATTGAAGCATTATACCGCTTCCCCTTCTGTGATGCTAATATTATTCTCAAAATCCTAATGAAAAAATTGTCTATTAGCTTGTTGCTTCCTTGCAAATACCCAATATAACCGAAAGTAAACTCACCTTAACTGCACAATGTCTTGTCCAGAAGTTTCTTCTCCAGTATTTTTTTTTTGCCGGCACTCTTTCATACTGCAGTACGTCGTGAATGTTGCATCACTTACCTATTTGGAAAAAAAATATCTAGATATCGTACTATGCATTTTTTCAGATGATTGATCTCACATGACTGGCCTATGCTACGATCGCGAACTTGAATTTATTGCTTGAAGTGAAGCAAGTAAGACAATATTCTGTTCCATACCATTCGCCATGTAATCCATAATTCCCATGCTTTCCATCGCAGATAGGGCATGGTGAGCTCCATGGCTGAGGTGATGCAAAATTATAATTATCAATCCCTTTAAAGCTATTTCGGAATTTCAGGTATGTGAAATGCTCTAAGACGGATTTGATAATTGATTCTGGATCGGGTCTGGCTTTGAAGGTGATAGGCCCTTTTTCTTCACATTGCTCAGAAGAAGATAAATAGGATACTTTGTTTTCTGGCTTCGAATTTATGAGAAGACCGGCTTCCGATGCATGCACTTCTGATAATTGCCATGGCTCATTTCCAGTTTCTTTTTTATATCTTTTGTATAATTTGGAACGAATCTTATCTGTCAAAATACTTGGTAACCCAGTTAATTTGGCATGCCAATCCAGATAATTGGCGGTTAGTATTTTAACAGACTCAGTCATTTTCCTTTTTATATGACTGCAAACAATTTAAATCCCTTTTTTCTCATATAGACCTATTCATTTGAAAAAAAGATTAAAATTCCCAGACTATTGTAAAGCAATGAGACTACACAACTATCTCAATTTCACGCTGTTCATATTTAATAAAGTAAGATCCTGCTTTATACCTACCTTCTATTTTTTCATCATCATGACCTAATTTGTATAATGGGCAGATATAGTCCCCTGATGTCTCATCAGTAATCCCATAATAATCAAAATTTTCACTACTACATTCTCTATATAGATTAGGATATTAATCCAATATCTTGTTGCGAAAATAGGAATAATCATAAGCTGGCTTAGGTTGGGATGCAGATGATACACTTGCTTGAAACATGTCTGATGAAATCATTTCTGGTAAAGCATTTGGCTGAGAGAATGCTGGTACTTCAGCTGGTATGGTTTGAGATGCATTTACGATTTTTTCGCTAGTTATATGACCCATGCTCAACAGTGGAATCGGAGCAGTTGTGTCACTAGTGATCATTTCTGAAGTCACATGACTCTGATCGTGAACATTGTTCACGGTTTTATTGGTGATATTTAAGTTCACTTGATCTATAATGTATTGAATTTGAAGGTTAGTGAGTCTGGAAATACTGTCAGCACTATAGGTAACCCAATTAACCATATGCCATTCTATATTTTTAATCTTTTTCAGAGTTATAGAATCGTAATCATATCCAAATAGCTTATTGATCTTCCTTGCTTTACTTGTTATCTTGCGCAAATATTCATCAGAAACGCCTGAAAGGTATGGTTTCATTTCATTATAAATCTGGGACCTTGCTGTCTTATCCTTAAGATTTTTATCCTCAGATCTGAGCTTAATGACCTTATCTTCGAATCTTTCAGAGTAACGACCCCAAGATGAAATCTCTTCCTGCTTAGCTTTGATCGAATTTTTCCTTGCTATACTCGCTTGATGAAATAAACGGGCAAGCTCTTCTGTGACAGGTGAAGAATTAGAATGCTCTATATCAATAAATTCGGTATTAATAAATTCCCTCTGGAAATCATCCACCAGAAATCCTTGTAATAAGTCTCGTACAATTTCAGTGACTAAGCCTGAATCCGATTCTCTCTGGGAAACATCCTCATTAAGTCTTTCAGGCATTTTTTGCACAGAGTCTTCCAATGAAATCTTTTCTTGATCGTGAACAATGTTCACGGTTTTTGTGTTACTTTCATTTTCATCATGATTTCTTAGAGAAGTTTCTGTAACACATGATAAGTCGGAAGGGACAGTTAACTCACGCTGAATTTTCTTCTCTTTGTTACGTTGCCTTATCTCATCACTAACCCTTTTCTTAAGTACCTCATCCAAGAAATCATCCGTCACTTTAACCTCCAATGACTTAGTTTCTGTGCGAATAGGTTTGCATACATTAGAATTAAATGTGCTATCAGATGTATTTGATGGTTTTGCCATCTTTTCTAGTTTACCCAGACGAACAACATTGTTGGGGTTCTCGACAGAGCTGGCATTGGCCGATGATTGTTTGATTTCCTTGATATCATCATCCATTTTGGAAATAAGGTTGGTCTTTTCTTTATCTCTCTGCTCTAGTCTCGTGAACCTAGCTTCATGTTCTTCTAAAGCGCACCTTAACTTTGCATTCTCAGCCTTGACCTCTGCATTCTCATCCATAACCTTGATATATTTGGCCTTAACCTCAGCATTCTCGGCCTCAAGCTCAATGATGCGTTGTCTCAATGAATCAAGTTCAGATGACATGATAATATTTTAATGCTCTATAATGCTAGTATTCAAAATCAGAAAAATATGTAGGCCATTTTGGCTGATCGTGAACATTGTTCACGGTTTTGCCAAGAAATTTTTTATTATTACATGCGAAAAAATAAATACATAGTTTGGGACAAATGTTTAAGACAGCACCAGTTAGTACTCTGGAGTAATACATCCCTTTTGGCTGTGATAAGACTCTAGTTGCCTTTCCCTTTCAAGACGACGATAAATTTTTTTGGCATGTTTGGAGCAATAGCCCGTATAAGATAATGTAGGTTTATCGCATATTCTACATGGAGATTTTAGCATATTATTTGCACCTGATTTCCAGTGGAGCGAGCATCCCACCAAGCGAGTGCAAACACGGCCACAAACACTTCCATCTTTTTTAATGTGGGGACAGGTAAGACGTTCCATTTATTATATTCTTGCACCTTTCACATTATAGAATTCGAATTTCAAAATGAGAAAATCCTAATTGAACTGTGGTGGAAAAAGTATATCGTAAACGATTAATCATATACCACAGCATAAATCATCATCTATGAACGCGGAAAAAACAGTACTCAACATTATAACCGGCCGATGGATCGATCCAAACAGAAAGCTATTCCAGAAGTTGATTCGGGAAGGCTATAAATATGTTGATAGACTCTCAGATTATTTAGAAGACATTGGAATCATATATGTAGGTGAATTTGAGCTGGATCCCTTAGCCGACTTCTACCACCCAGCTCTAATTCCGCCTCTATCTGTCTTAGCAATTAGAGCAGATATTCGTGAAAAATTTATTATTAGTGTGGAGTCTGCTGTTATGGGAGGAATGAGTCTATTTACTCTAGAAAAAAATAAACGATCTTCGCTCCAGAATCTAATCCAAATGAACTATTCCATTGATAACTTGACTACGTTAATAGGAATAACTTGGGAGCAAGAAGAGATAAAAACTTGGAGGAACGACGTGCTTATGAAATTCCTCCATCATTCAAATTTAACTCCTTCGAAGCATAGACCGGGTGCATTATATGATGCATTTACCAAGACTAGTGTTTTAGGGCCAGAACATATATTGGCTCTAGCGCGAGCATTTTGCTAAGGCGTGATTATGATATAAATAAATTGTTTATAGTCCTGGAATGGCAGTTCCATGACTAAATATTTTTCGCTTATCATATATTCCTGCAAAATTCAATTTTTTTTTATTATTACATGCGAAAAATAAATACAAAGTTTCGGGACGTAGCCCGGGATACATGACGTCTATGCTAGTGTCCTATACAATTATTTTTTCTTGATTATCTCTTCTACACGGCGCTTCTTAGTTGCGGGTTCCTCACTACCTACTGCTCTATCCTTTAATAATCCTACGATCACTTCTAAAACCCTCTTCACATTCTTACGCAATTCTGTATCATCTTTGAGAGCGTCTTCTTTCTGTAAGTGAAATTCGATACTCGGTCCTGCTCGTACTATAGATGCCCTCGGTGCTGTGAAGAATGAAGTACCAGTCAGTTCCAGTACTGACTATACCATAGACGTAGTCGTAGTCGGGATCGAATGCATCATCCACCTTTCTTTTTTTCTTGTTCATATTTATATTCATCTGAGGGAAATAGAGAAGTAAGTTAGCAATAGCCCATGATCATCCTATAGCGAGCGAGCTAGTAGAATCTGTTATACTTACATCGCAAGCACTTCGGCATTGTAGTAAGTTTTGGCAGATACCTATAGTTGCTTGATTCTGTTTGCCTTCGGTTATGCAAATTATTTCCTCCAGCAGCTCGCTGATAATTTTTTTGATGGCATAGTCGACACGGCCTGTGTTTTCTTCACCAATTATATTTGCCTGAGGTGTGATTACCAAGTCGCCGAGAATACTTACAGCCGTATGTAAGATCGTTGAAATATACTCGCACCGCATAGCTTCGTTACTATCTACAACTGGACCCATATTTTTTATTCTACGAAGGATGTCGTCAATACATAGCTTAAATTCGGGGGCGCTTTCGTTGATAGTGTGGATGGCTATATTATGATATGTGAGCTCGAAATATATAAAAAAGAACTCCTTTAATCTGATATTACTTACGTGGTATGAACTGTGGAATGCGAGTTATATCCCCGCTAACAATCCCATATTTCTCCAACACCTCACTCAACTCTTTCTTAGTCTTGTACGAGGAGAACGACCTCAACTTTTTATCTTTACACTCCTTAGCGAACTTCACGAGTCTCTTAGCTGGCCCCAATTTCATTCCATGTCGCTCAAGCTCTTCCTGAGTCAAGTCGAAGAAGTCTTGCCCACCCACTCTCTCATTTTCGATTATATCAAAGTCATCCTTCACAAGGTTTAGGTTCTGTTCCCGCAAATATTCTATAAGCTTGGCCGTGTCATATTTTTTAATTTCGTCAGCCAGCGAGACCGTCTCATTTCCAGCAACAGTAGTGGAGGTGGAAGCTGGAGTATAAGGTGTACTAGTTTCAGACATAGTGTTACGTTTTTATAGGGATATTTGGCTCGGACAAAAAAATAGTGTTACTTTCCGGAGTGAGATAAAATTTTATTTCTGGGATGGGAAAGAGAATACTGGCCATTAATATAGGTTTTTATGTAGCACAGGCATTGCATCATTACACGTGACCCTTTCTCATATACGTTAGATAAAATAATACTTTATTTATGAAATAAAAAATATTGGCGGAAGGGCCCTAAAGGGACCAAGCTGGCCTACAATACATAAAAATTGCGACTGTATCGCTATTACATGATAATGTAATATAGATAAAAAAATCTAATTATCTTTGCTTAGTACCTCCGGCACCCTTTCAGCGGGAGGGTACACGATAACATTAATTCCATTTTCACCACCAAAGATACGTTGGGGTTGTATAGGAAAATGAGTAAAAATGGTGTCTTGCGGTTCCATTCTTATTGCACCTTCTACTTCAAATTCACTGATGTTTCTTAAGCTGTTGATTATGACACTATCAGCTATAAATGCGACCCTATATAAAGCCAAATTGGACGAATCTATATCTTGAAATCGATCTAGACGACGGGTTCTGATTGCCTCCGCAAGAGAAGAGACTCTATTGTTGTTAGCGTTAGATATCGTTACTTCAAAAATATCGTTCACTCCCTCGTCAGAAATGAGACAGTTGAGAGTAATATCCCCACCAGCGAGAAACTTGTCAAGCTTGTCAGGAGTCTTGGTCTTATCAGATTCCTTGGTCTTATCGGACATCTTGCTTTCCTAAATACAAGGTCCATAGTGAGAAAACTCGCTCCCATACATACATAACTTCTAGCATATACATACCTTATTTTGCGTTATTTTACGGGAAAGTTTTTTGCGGAAAGTTGGCTGAACTTCCACATACCTCTACATGCTTTATATCTTGCTGGGAAAAAAGAGCGCCAAGCCGAAGTTAAGGAGATAAGAATAGTGATTAGCATTGTCGTATGATGCCAAGAGATCTATGAAAGCACATGAAAAAAGAATAATCATACCTTTTCACATGTAGATCTACCGGAAAGACATAGTTGGTTTTACGCCTGGCGATCTCGAAATTCCAAAGTCCTCAGCCTTTCATAACATATGCTTTTGCCGTCAGTATTTACTTTTACGGTAGGCAACTAGACCTCCCTTCACATTTTCTCACATTTGTTTGGGGAAAAAATATAGGTACTGGTTAGTATGTTTTCTTTTTCGAATATATATGCAAAAAAAAATAATGTTTCACAGACTGACCGTGTGATCGGCCATTACATCATTGCAAAGAAATCTATGGCAAAGCAAAATCTTCTTTCGAACGAAGTGATCCGGGTTGATGATCAGTATTCCGGACTTGGCCCTTAAGGCGCTTCGCTAAATTTTCCGCATTAAATATATTACTTTATTATAGCAATCATGGCAAATAATAATCCCGAAACGCTTGCTCAGTTTTATGGACTGTTTTTATATAAGAAGAAGGATATAATAGCTATTCAGAAGAAACTCGGTATTGGCCCTGGCAATGCAAATGAATTAGTAGTGCCTCCAGATTCCGAGCTTATGGGGAAAACACTTGCTGATTCATACAAATTGTTGTTAGAATTGGTAGGGGATTTAATACCGATACAGGAGAAACTTGGTATAGATGTCAATCCTGTTCTAGAAGTAGAATATCGAAGCAATAAAGCTTCTGCAGATGTTTCATTTAGTGAAATATTAAATTTGCTTATGTATTTGGAAGAGGATATAATAGCAATTCAGGATGAACTCAATATTATTGGTTATTCTAATCAAGCAAGGGCAGAAGAAGTCAATGAGAATGTAAGAGCACAACTCCGAAAGCTTAAGGAATTTCACGGTCCCTTAGAAGATGATCCAGGCGTGATATTACCGAAATATGGTGAAATGGGGGTAAAGAAAATTCTGTTTACTGGAAAGGGACTACCATTATTTCCGAAGGTTACTCCTCAACAATTGCACAAAATTTTTGTAAAAAATTTGGCTGGCACAGACCAATGTCCATGTCTAGAACAGGTTAGATAATCTATATTTTTGTCGTACAGAAGCATTGTACATGCATGTGGCCTAGCAAAAATCTAATTAATGATCATTGCTTCAGACTAGTTAGATCGGCAGAGTACCACCAACCTGTCTAAGATAATCATTAAATGCAGTAATAAAATCATTCGGAGTTTCTGCCGTGCCCGTAATTATCGGAGGAGGTACATCATTATTATAGGCAACTTCATCCTCTGATTCAGTTTCGGAGCTAGAAGATTCCGAATCAGAACAGTAATCTTCATCAAAATTTTCGATATGAATATTTGGATTTAGCTGGTCCATGGCTTCTTTGCTGATATTTCTACACCCCTCCAAATCAAGAAATTTTAAATTGGGACGTGAACGAGCAATTTCTTTGATAGTGGTACTGGTAATATTGCAACATACAAGGCTGAGATGCTGAATCTTCGGGCAGGAGCGAATAACATTGCAGATTGATAATTCACTAATAAATGTACAACAACTTAAATCGAAATATTCTAATTTTTGACAAGTATGGGCTAGCGCCTCAGTAACCTCATCACCAATATCATTACCACCAATCTCTAAGTGTCTTAAATTCGGAGATGCTCTAATGATAGCTACAATTAATGCATCATCATAGAAAGCCATAACACCAGCAAAGTCAAGATACTCTATATTGAGACATCTCTGCATTAAAGTACTAGCATTTTTAATTTTCCCCTTGCTATATGCAATATCAAATTTACGTAAATTTGGGCATGAGTTTAAGATGCAACATATAGATTTATCTGTGATCCGACGTGCTTCGGCAAAATGGAACTCTTGTAAATCATGACAATTATCTGCAATTACAAACAAAGATTCATTGGTAATATTCCTGCAGTAAGAAATATTTAGATGTTCTAAGTTACGGCATGATCGTACGATCGCACATAAGCCTTTATCGGTTATCGCTTCAGCATCCCACAAATTGAGATATCTTAAATTAAGATATGATTCCGCTATTATAAATAGTGATCTATAACCAAAACCTATACTTTCTTTGAAATTTAAATGAATTATATTCGGAAATGTATCCACAATATTTTTTATTTTTCTATCCGAAAGCGAATGGTAATAAGTAATTTCTAGATGGGTTACATTCGAGACATAAGCTGGCTTATGCTTTTCGCACATTATTTTTACAAATCTTTCCAAACGAGTACGGTCTCTCTCTTGATAAGTATAATCATCTGGAAAATAATGGTAACATTTCAGGTCATTCCCCTTTAGTTTGATATATTTCCATAAGCTAGGAACGGCACATCTGTACCATGACCGGCAAACAAATAGAGCAGAGTATAGAGATTTATCTATCAATAAGAAATGTAAAATCTGCTCTAGTAATTCCTATATATTAAAAATGCTTGTATGGACCATAAATAATATATGCTGTATCTTTAAACGAAAAAATAAAATTACACAATTACTGCTCCGGACTAAGCCTTTCCACTATGTCATCTAACGCAAGTGCTTGTAACCCATCCAAACGAACTTTTAATATATCTTCAGGTGATAATTCTCTGAAGAATAGATTTTTAAGAAGCCATTCTGGATAGTCTTTGCTTAAATTACACTCTTTCAGTTTCGAATAATATTCCTTTACTGTATAATTGCCTTGAA